TGGGATGGAAGGTATCAGACCAACTGCTGTAGTATGGCTTTCAGTCCACTCATGCTGTGGTACTTAAGCATGGCCCCAAAGCACGACTGTAATGAGCCAGGATGCCTCTAAGTGTGCCATCCATGATCTAGGATACTCCCAATCAGATGGTCTGTGATTCAGGATTCCCCCAGGCAGGTGACTGTGATCCAGGGTCCCCACAGGCAGGGGACTGTGATCCAGGTCCCCACAGGCAGGGGACTGAGATCCAGGGTCCCCACAGGCAGGGGACTGCGATCCAGGGTCCCCAGAGGCAGGAGTTTCTCTTGTGCTTCTTCTCAATGCTTCTGTAGTTCAGCTCACCTAAATCATCACTGGCATCACAGAGTAAAGGGGAGACATTTTAAGAGATAGAAGGGGGAGGGAGGGGTGGGAGGGAGGAGGAGGAGAGAGGGAGAGAGAAAGAGGGAGGTTTTTTGTTTGTTTATTTGTTTGTTTGTTTGTTTGTTTGAGACAGGGTTTTTCTGTATAGTCCTGGCTGTCCTGGAACTCACTCTGTAGACCAGGCTGGCCTCGAACTCAGAAATCCTCTGTCTCTCAAGTGCTGGGATTAAAGGCATGCGCCACCACTGCAAGAGGGAGTTTGTTAATTAAACTTCCTCATGGGTGTGGCTGCAGAGGAAGAGCAACATTTGTATGCTTCAGTACGATTTAACTTCAGACATCCACCAGGGCCTCAGAAGGTCTCAAATTGTTTAGGATGAACCACTTACTGTCTTTATAGACTAAATCCAAGTCGAGAGCCCTTCACCACCATGAGCGCATCCTTTAATTGATAAAGGGTACTTGTCAGCCCGACACCAACTGTCCCAATCAACGGTGAAAATCAAATAGATTGAAAAGCTTCTCTTTGGAATGAAGAAAGCAATGTGCTTCCTACCGTGTCCTGTATCTCCGTGTGGCTGGAAGTCCTAATCAATGCAGAAAGCTGGAGATCCAGGAGAGAAAGGTGGGAGCCGAGTTCTGCATATGTATGATATCATTGGAATGCAGAAAACAGAAAAAAACCGTGGGCTCCTTTATTAGAATCCACAAGGTAGTTGGGCAATTTAGCCTGATGTTTGAATTCAATTGCGTCCCTTTCAAGTTCATATGTTGAGCCCCCAACTTCCAAATAACCACGTTCAGAGACAAGAGTTTAAAGGAGGCTACGGCAGTTAAATGAAGCTGTAGAGTCAGAGCCTTAACCCATTGGCAAGGGGATCATCTAATTAGAAGAGAGACACTAGGGCTGTCTGTGTCTTTCCATGTGGGCAACGGAGGAAAGGCTGGATTTCCAGCCACTTGTGACGCAAGGGAGGAAGACCTACTGGAAACCAGCCTCAGAGGCACCTCAGGCTCGGACTTCTGGCCTCTAGAACCATGAACCAATAATGCCTGTTGGGTAAGCCACCCAACCCATGGCTGCATGAGCAAATGCCGCCTGTGTCTTTGTGCACCAGCAATGGGTAGAAAGAAGCCACTGGCAGCAGGGACCAGGGTTAAGGTGCCTGGAAGTGGAGTAAACATAAGAATTCAAGACGGACCAGAGAGCGATGAGAACACCCTGAGGGACATTTGGAATATGAAGCGTGGGCCAAACACTCATCAGTGTGGACAGCAAGAGGACATAGTTCATAATCAATGCCTTCCAAACCGATTGGTGGATCTAAGCCACGCCCACTGAATTCCAAGATGTCTTCTCTTTCTTCTCTAGGAAGAATTCAACAGCTACTAGTAACGTTGGCACTAAAACCCCAATGCAGTAAAGGTTCCCCTGAAAAAGAAGCAATAATGGGGTAATGTCCTCTGGTTGGTGTCAAGAATATGAAATCACCATCAGGCTATGAAGATGGAGTGGTACATAGTCAAAGACAGATGCGCAGCCCAGAGGATCAGAAAAGATATCCAGGGACACAGGAAGACATTGCAGATCTACATGTGACAAGCTAAGCAACAATTTGAGAGAAACGAAGGCTAAATAGACCAATGAAAGGGGCTAGAACAACTGAGGACATACAATGGGAGGAGCTAAAATAACTGACAGCTTACAGTGGGAGGGGCTAGAACAACTGACAGCTCACAATGGGAGGAGCTAAAACAACTGAGGGCTTACAATGGGAGGGGCTAGAACAACTGACAGCTTACAATGGGAGGAGCTAGAACAACTGACAGCTTACAGTGGGAGGGGCTAGAACAACTGACAGCTTACAGTGGGAGGGGCTAGAACAACTGACAGCTTACAATGGGAGGAGCTAGAACAACTGACAGCTTACAGTGGGAGGAGCTAGAACAACTGACAGCTTACAGTGGGAGGAGCTAGAACAACTGATAGCTTACAGTGGGAGGGGCTAGAACAACTGACAGCTTACAATGGGAGGGGCTAGAACAACTGACAGCTCACAATGGGAGGAGCTAGAACAACTGACAGCTCACAATGGGATAGAAGAAGTAGTCCCCTACCTCACACCATGAAAACAGATTTGATAAACTTCAGGTAAAATTTTGACAAAGTTAAAGTTTCCAGTCCTTTCTTTTGCCCTGTTGGTTGATTGCTTGCTTCACTGAGTACAGAGTCCTACCCTGCAGTCCAGGCTGGCCTAGATGAATTCATGATCCTCCTGCCTCAGTCTCCAAATGCTGGATCAGGGCTTGTACCACCGTGTCCAGCCAGCTTCTCCAGTCTGCTCTTGATTGCACGCCTTGAGCACCCGTTACTTTGTCAAAACCCATTTCCGTTCCCAGCGCAGCCTTCAGGGTGAGCTTTCCCGAAGGCTGCCGGCACTCCTCAGTGCCGCACGCGCCTTTGCGAGGGCCCGATGGACCTTACAAGAACGGCGTCCTGCAAGGGACATCTCAGTGCACACAGCTTCGCCTTCCACCGCAGTCCGTCCCCAGCATCTGTCTCCAGGGCGGCAGCATCAGCCCCAAGCCGGGGATTATAGCCACAGCCCTTGGTACATCGCCAAGCTGCTTTCCTCCAAAGTCACACGGATTCTTCCCTTGCTCACTGGCCCTGGGCTACAACATAACATTGCCAGGAGTTTATCTGCTGTTCAAACAGTTTCTTCTGCTAAGTAAAGTGGATCTGCTAAGGATTGCACTTGGCTGAGAGTTTATATTCGGTTTCATCCAAACTGTATGTCTTTCTTCTGAAATGCTCTCTTTGGCTTCAAAGCTTAGAAAGCAATCACTCCTCCAGGACTCTGACAAATGTTTGCTTCTCATTTTTGCTGGGGCTGTGAGGATGATTTAAAACTTTTCTTTTTACCGTATAGCTCTTCTCTAGGAAGAAAATGCTCTAACAAAATCACAGAAAAAAAATCGAAACAAAAAATTTTTCATAAACGCCTCAGCGCTCCTCTCCAGAGCTACCGTGTGTGTGTGTGTGCATGTGTGTGTATGTCTGTGTATGTGTGTGTGTGTGTGTGTGTGTATGTCTGTGTATGTGTGTGTGTGTATGCGTGTGTGTGTGTATGTGTGTGTATGTATGTGTGTGTATGTGTGTGTATGTATGTGTGTGTGTATGTGTGTGTGTATGTGTGTGTATGTGTGTGTATGTGTGTATGTGTGTGTGTGTATGTGTGTGTGTGTGTATGTGTGTGTATGTATGTGTGTGTATGTGTGTGTGTATGTGTGTGTGTATGTATGTATGTGTGTGTGTATGTGTGTGTGTATGTGTGTGTGTGTACGGAGGTGGGTATGAGTGTCTATAAGTGCATATATAGAGGACACTGGGTATCCTGATTATTTGCTGTCTGCTTTATGGCCTAGAGAAAAAATCTCTTGTTGATCCTTTCTTCTAGGCCAGCTAGCTAACAAGCCCCAGCATTTTTCTGTCTCTGCCCACCTTCATTGCTGAATTACAGGCACATGTAGCCATACCTGACATTTTAATAAAATGAGTGCACTGAGGATCTGAACTCGGGTTCCTGTATTCACAGCAGGCACTCTTACCTGCTGAACTATCTCTCTAGCCCTTAGAGGTAATATCTCTGTGAACCTCTTCCAGTATTTTTTAATATGCTTACACTCTTCACAATATTTTATTCATAAGCAAAAATAACTACCCCATCTGCTTTTCTACTTACCACAAGAGCATGAACATTTTTCCATTCTGCCTTCCTGACTTCTTAAGAGTAATTTTAATGGTTGCATAATATTTCATGGAATGAATGAATGTACCCTGTGCCTTATAACTTAATTAAGTGCTGTCTCTATTTTTGGATCCTAAAGTTGCTTTCAAACTTTTACTTATAACTAATTCAGCAGTAAAAATGTTTATGAATAAAAAAATTTTTGGACTATTTTTAACAGAGCTACATTTCAGCTGACAGCTTCCAACTCTCAGCTGACAGACTCAGTTTCTCATTCAGCCCAATTTTCCCCTCCATCCGTGTGAAGAGAACCCAGATTCTGTTCAGGGTAGTAGTATCCTCAGTATAAAATTACTATTCCTTGTGCTTGGCATCACTCTTTGGCCCAGTGAAGAGCAAACGGCAGCCCGCAACTCTAAGTCTGGGAATATTGCTTTCTGTTCTACAAAGGAATGATTTTCGAAGCCAGGAGGCTGGAAGCCATCCAGAGCTGGGAAAGTAGACAGAGAGGATCATGGCCATCGATGACATCATAGGCTGGGATGGCTGCCCTAGACCTCTGGACTCCTGGAATAGTTCTGATTAGTTTTTTCTTTTTGTGAGACAGGGTTTCCCTATGTAGCCCTGTGTGATGGGCTTTTCTTGCTTGTCATCTTGACTACATCTGGAATGAACTAAACCCCAAATGTTTGGGTACACCTGTGAGGGATTTCTTTTCTTAATTAAATCATTTGAAATGGGAAGACCGACTTTTAATATTGATCTTTTGAGGTGGGGAGATCCACCCTCAATCTGGGCCACAGCTTTGGCTGGCAGCCTATGTAAAGGGGACGGAAGAAGGAAGCTTGCTCTCCTGGTTGTCCTTACTGTCCCTGGAAAGTTCATTCCTCCACTGTCATTAGAGCCTGCTTCTTCCAGATTCCAGCACATACTGAAGACCAGCTGAGACTCCAGCTTTGTAGACTGAACAACTATTGGATTCTTGGGCCTTCCATTGGTGGACAGCCATTGTTGAACTAGCTGGACCACAGCCTGTAAGCCATTTTAGTAAATCCTATATGCGTGCGTGTGTGTGCATGTGTATATGTGTGTGTGTGTATGTATGTATGTATGTATGTGTCTCGAAATATATATATGGAAAAAATATACATATATATATATATATGTCTGGGAATATATATATCTGGAAATATATATATACATACATACATACATACATACATATGGAGAGAGAGAGATGTGTATGCATTCTATCAGTTCTGTTCCTGTAGAGAACCCCGACTAATACTTCCAGTTATGCTCACACTTAAACTCCTTCTTTCTCGCCACTTGAGTGCTAGATTCGTGGGTGTGCACCGTCACATCTAGTTTAGCTAATTACCCTCTAAGCTACTGTAGAATACCACATGGAACCCCTTCTATTTCCCAGACGGAGAGGAAGACGGGTGACACCTAAGGTAGGGACCCATCCTAACACTAAACAGCTGTCGGATGTATTCCAGGCGCCAAACGCACAATAGAGTCCTTGGCTGAATATCGCACAGCCGAACTCGTGCGCTTTCCAGATTTGTGTGTTGAAACTTAATCGTCCAGGGGGCAGCACGCCGCCATATCTGGTTGTCAAGGCAATCTCTAACTGTCAACACCTGTAAAATCAAAAGGCAAGTTACATACCTCCGAAGTATAATGGCAAAGGATAAACTTTCTTACTTCAAAAGCAAAGATTGGAGGCATAGGAAGGAAATATTGAACCAAGACAAGAGCAAAATCAAGTAGAGCAAACACCAAACCCTACAGATTCATGTCTGGCATCTAGAACTCACAATGGAGTCACCTGGGTTCCAAAGGAATGCCCCCTCCACCAGTCTCCAGTTCTGCTGCATGAAACACATGAATAACTCCATCTCCAATGGGCTCTCTTTGAAGTCTCTGGGAAATATCTCATAGTTCTGGAACATCCACAATCTTGGAATCTTTACTGCAAGTTAGATTTCCATATAATGGCTTTTAAAGGCCTTCTTGCCAAGACTCCAGCCTGGCCATATATGGCCTGACCTCAGGTGCAGGGGGCTCTTTCCACAGCAATCTCAACTTAGGCTCTTTTCTTTCAAGTAAACTTACCTTGTTACAAGCAGGAACTATCTATGGTAGGGCTTTCCCTGCAGAACTTACTTATTGTCCCAGTACAGAGAACAGGACTCATCTTTAACAGAACTGGCCTGTCTAAACAATACGGCTGCTGCCTCCCCACTGGGCTTTGTCTCTCTCAAACTGTTTTTCTTGCCAAACTAGCTCCCCCCCCACCCCGCTTTTCTGCTCTGTTTCACTGTGAACCTGGGCAAGAGCAGTGAGCAATAACCATGCCACAGTCTGAATGTACTTAAAGTTTCCTCCACTGAGTTAGTCTGTTGCTTTTGAATATTGCCTCACTCGGGTACAAGACACGGGCAGAATGTAGTCAAGTTTTAACACAGATTTTGACACACTTGACAGATTTGTTCCAGAATTTAACACAAATGCTCTCAACCCGAGAAAGTCCTTATTCTTGGAAACCTCATGGACCTCCACTGCCTGCACTTCTGTCCTCCTTCTGGTTTCCTAGATCCCCTCAAAAAGTCTCAGTAAGCCCTGCTTAGAACAGTTTTAGAGTTTCTCTAGCTCACAGCTCCAAACTTTCATATCTTTTCATGATATCATGTCCAAAGGCTACGAACCATATGGTCAAGTTTACCACGGTGACGCTTCTTGGTACCACTTTTCTATATTAGTTTTTTCTTCTTTCTTGTTGCTATTTTTTTAATAAGTTCATTTATTTTGTATATGAAAGTACACTGTAGCTGTTTTCAGACACACCAGAAGAGAGCATCGGATCCATTACAGATGGATGAGCCACCATGTGGATGCTGGGAATTGAACTCAGGACCTCTGGAAGAGCAGTCAGTGCTCTTAACCATTGAGCCATCTCTTTAGTCCTTTCTTTCTTTTTCCTTCCCTCCCTCCCTTCCTTCCTTCCTTCCTTCCTTCCTTCCTTCCTTCCTTCCTTCCTTCTTTCCTTCCTTCCTTCCTCCCTTTCTTTCTTTCTAAGTTTCTTTTGGCTCAGAGTTTGAGAATATAGACCATCAGAGTGGGGAATTATGAGACAGGAGCAGAAAGCAGTTGGTCCCGTTACACCTCCAATCAGGAAGCAGGGGCAGGTGAATGTTGGAGCTGAGGTGCGGTGGCTTCCTGCTCCCCACTCTTCTCCTTAGCTAAACCTCTCTGAAGATGTCTTCCAGCCATGCTCAGAGGTGTATCTCCTAGGTGATTTCAAATCCAGCCACGTTGACAATGAGAATGAATCACTCCAGTAGCATTTGTCGAGAGGACCTTGGTTCAACAGTGCCTCTCTGAGTCTGCCCTTTAGCTTGCTCCTCAGAGCTCGTTTTGAGAACCCTAGAAACTTCAATTATCTTTACTTTTTCTAGAACTTTCCCCCCATCATGGTGTGCTAAAAAAAAAATACTGGTGGAGACTAGTTATCTGAGATAGAATCTTAAAACTTGCTTTTCTTCAGCTTTATCGAACTTGTCGTGGTGTGCTCTCTCTCTCTCTCTCTCTCTCTCTCTCTCTCTCTTGTATGCATGTCTCTTTGTCATGAATTCTCTCCCTTCTGTCTCTACAGGTAGCAGCAGAATCCAGTTTACTCTTTTCTGGTAGGAGTTTTTAGATGTCCTTTCTCCCCTCCCCCTTTCTTTTTCCAACCCTCTATTTGGAGAGCAAAGCTCGACTTATGCCACCCTGCCCTCAACCTCCCCTCTTCATGCCTCTAAAGTCCAGTTGGCCCTAACTGCTCTTGGTTCTGTGTTTAGGAATTGGCCTCCTTGACAGAAATTTAAATGCAGCCCCGGCAGCACTCTTGTAGCCGCTGGGGAACACAGGAGCTTGTTCAGGATCACAAAAGTGTGTCAATGCCAGGCTCCCAGTTGTGGGTGGACAAAGCAACGCTTAGTAGCACTGGCATGTCCAATAGCACACAAGGATCCGTGTAGTGTCCTTTTTTTCTTTTTTTTTTTCTTTTTGGTTATTCGTTTTACAGGTGACCTCAGCATCTTAAAAATGCCTCTGAGCACAAAGATATACCGGCTTGTGTGAGGAGAAAAACCCATCCATTAGATGGGCTTTGTTCAGGCGTGAGCAGTCAGTACTGTGGCTGTATGTTCCAAACAGACCACTCAGAAAACACAAATCGCTGCAGGCTTCCGGAATGCTGATTGAATATTTTCTAATTTGATGTCTGTGGCCACCTGATGGACTGTCACACTCGGAGATAAGGTGACAGCACCGAGCTGACCCTTCTCCTTGTGCCGATGTGGAACTGAGCTCAGGTTCTTTCCCAAGTTCCCCTCAGGGGAGCTTGGTCTGAACTTTCTGCTTTTGTCAAGGAAAGCAGGCTGCCTCTGTCTCCGCCTGAACCTTTGAAATGTGAGGTTTATTTTCTGTCTCCCAAGGGATCGTGGAGAAATTGCCCATCCCCTCTCGTCCCCTGTACTTTCATTGTCCCAGAAGGGTCTCCCGGCTGGGGAATGCTAACCTCCCCCACCCCTAACCTGGGCAGGGTACAAGGGTCCTCATTTCAAGTTTTCCCATTCAACCCCCCCCCCCAACTTTGAAGCTTAATAGCTTTAAAATCTTACAAGTTGTAAAAACAATTAAGGCAATAACGTTAAAGAGAAGCAGAATGCTGCCCTTCAAAGGCGTGTGAGCCGTTCACACTTCGTGGTTAAACGCGGCCTGGAGCTGGCCGGGGGTCTGAGAAAACGCAGAGGCGCCCTGCGAATTTGTTGATGCCAGTTTGGACAGACTGTTTATTTTCATGATTTCATGGAAGAATTTTAATTTAATGAGTGTTTTATACTCTAATGTAAAGCATCGTTCAAGCCCTGTAATTACTGTGTCAAAGTGGGCTTCCTTACACAGCGGCAAGCTTCAACTCCAAGGCTATGCCTCGCATCTGAAATCAGCCTAGGGACCTGGAGGAGGGGCTGCGGGAACCGGGGTTGCTTAATGGAATCGGAAATTAACTCTAGGAAGGGGGTGAAGGGTCTGAAGGGGTGTCAGGCTGAGCTAATTCCCACCCACCCCCAACCTGTGCTTTGCATACTGGAGGTGATGGGCCGGGAACAAGTGTCTAGGGTCTTCTAGGTAAGAGCTTGACCTTCATAAAGCTGTTTGTCCGACGGGCTCACCGGTAGGTAATTTCAGACACGTACTTCATCATTTCGGCTTTTCTTTCTTTCTTTTTTTTTTTTTTGAAAGACGTTTTGGCTTTGACTTTATGCATGACCCACAAAAATTATTTTTTCCCCTCTCTTCCATTTATTTAAAAGCACAGAAGAGATTTTGTGTAGACTAGAAAGGTGGGCCGTTGCCTGGAGTCCAGGTCTCGGGAAACTTTCCTGCTCTGGTGACTTGTTGCAGGGTCCTTCTGTTCCCTGCCCTTTCTCCCTGCTCGAGCAATCTCCCAGAGCACACACGACTCGAATAGACTCAAAATGGCCTTTCCAGATGTTGGCCAGAGCCTCATTGCACCCCCTTGGCCCTGGATGGGGATCCCCCTAAACAAGCCACCAGAACGTCTTCTCTGGAGTGATTTCCCCCCCTTCTTCATGTTAAGCCACTTGGATCTGTGCTTTTGTGGTTCAAGTCCAGGAATCCAATGGTTGCAATTTGATCACCTGCTATTTCTATCCTCTGAGCAGTTGTGCCGTGGAGACATCGCATACTTTCCTTAGCGAGGAGGGAGGGGTATTTCACCAGGGTAAGGAAGCCATCTTCCACTTTCTGGTGTTCTTGTGACATTGAAGGTTCTGGAATAAAAGCCCCAATGACTATCCGTAGGGCATCATCTCACAGCACCTGGAAACAGAGTATGTGTTGCTCACCTAGGTTGATATTACCACTGACTGCAGCAGCACCCAGGGCTGGCGGGGTTCAGGGGGGACCTCTGAGGAATGACAGATTAATGGGGGGTGGGATGGAGGAGACACTTAGCTAAATTGAAATTCAGATCTATGATGAGTGATTTCAAGTATGTTCAAGATCATATATTTGGAGCTTATACATATACTAAAAATGATTTGTCTGAATGTCAAACTTAACTGGGTGTCCTGTATTTTACCTGACAGCCCAACTTCCAAGGTTCCAGCTGCCTTCCCTTAAAATGCACCAAGGTGTAAATCCTCTAGGTGCAGATGGTGGCTCTGGCTGGATCCAGCGGCGGCAAAGTTTGTTTTGGATGATGTGTTTGAAGTTTGAATTTGGGATTTTTTTTTTTTAATATGGAGTAAGCGCTCCGTAGCTGCCGTGATCCCCGGCATGACTCTGGGAGCTGCCTATGTGGGTATGCACCCCATATTCTCTCGGTTAGACACACTGTTCAGCCTTAACTTCTTGTTCCTCTATCAACTTCTGATAGTGCAGGTTCACAAAACCCGGTCCTGGGCAAGCCCTTGGTGGAAGAAGTGTCCAGGAATGAAAAGCGCTAGGCTGGTTTTAACAGGGGCACTCTGGGAAGGGGGCGGGGCTATCTCCAATTTTGCAAATGAGATTCCGGAAAATTAAGCATCTAGTTCTATCTGGCCTCATGTCTGGCTTCAGGAAGAGGATTCAATGGAGGTCGCTTGGCTCCAACATCACATCAGCCTGCCTTAACATTTCCTTGCTGTAGTCTGTGACTGTGCTTTGCTAAGTGACTGTCACGTAGCAGACACTCCTCTGGGTCAGTGGTCTAGCTAGATATTTTTATGTCTTTTGCTCGGAAAGGATGGAATCCTAAACCGAATGCCACGTGAAAGGGGCTTAGGCTATTCTGATCCTGAACCGCAGGGTCTGGTCCTGGATTTGTTTTGTTTTGCTTTTCTTGTGAACCTCATGGTGGAAACGCTCTTCGCATTCTGTGTGCCTACAACGCCGGTAAATTGTTCGCTGGATTTATTTCAAAGCAAAGAAGGAGCAGCGAAGATTGCGATGCTTAGACTGTAGTTGCCCCTTTTAACTCAATTACGTTTTGACAATTCGGAATGAAACTTGGGAGCATGTCTTTGTTTAAGCCATGGGCCTTGCATCGGAGTAGTCAGCTCAAGGTATATGGCTAGTGTCAGGACTAACAGTCTTTGACAAGGGCATTTAGCGGTTGTAATTCAAATCTAATTCAGAACATCTTAGCACCGGACCTGTCAGGCCCTTGAAGCCCACGGTAACTACAAAACCAAGGGCACCGGTCCCAAAGCCAGTTCTGGGCGGCCTCAAGTTGATATGTCAACAAGAGCGGTTACAATTAGGCCCTTCTTTCAAGCATACTAAACTAATTTACAACACTCTGGAAAAGTGGGAAAAGGACCCGAGGCTTAAAATCCCAAGACTTCTAGATTTCAGATTACGGCACATAAAAATACAATTAGGGTCTCACACAAAACAGCCCAGGCTTGCGCCCGCCCTTTGGATTGTGTGCGGACTGTCTGCCCTTAAAAATAGATATGCTTTAAAAAACGCGTGCATGCATGTAGTTAGAACAGAATAACAGTTGACTCCCAACCACAAAAAAAAAAAAAAAAATCCCCCCAAAACCCCAAAACAAAAAAACCCTGTCGAGTCTTGTTAGGATCATTTTGTGGCTTTGCTGAACCCTAAATCGCCACCACACCTATTTATTACTTGGGGACGCTGCTTGTAATCGAATCTGGCTTAATTGGGGAGTGTCTCTTCTTGATGCGCCTTCCCATTTGGCGGCCACGGAGCATGCAGATTCTATGTGGCCTGGGTGCTCTGAGCTGGGATGAGAAGTGAGGATGGGGTACAGGATTCGGAGTGTGACTGGCTCGTGGGACACAGACAGGGCTACAGCCACCGGGATGTAATTTCACCGTCAAGATAAAACAGGGCTTGATTTTAAAGCACGCCACTGATCTTGGACAGCTGTGCGCATTTAAGAGGCCCCGCCTTCGCGCCAGGGACCCCGGCTAATGGGAATGTTTGCAGATCTCGCTTTTATGATTTATCTCCTTTTTATGCATGACAATATAGACTCTCTCCTCCGGGGACTCATAAATGTGATTCTACTTCCCAAATTACAAAGCTAGTCAATTACTTAGCAATGAGGCACGCATGCAGAAGTGTCGGTAACGCGATGCGTTAACCATCAGGAAATTTTACACCAATTGGAATTATAAACGCCAGATTTAAAATTAAAAAAAGAAAAAGAAAAAAGAAGAAGGGAAAAGGAAATGTGAAAGAAAAAATCTTCACCAGCAGTTGGATCTGTTTACTGGCTATGCCTCCTGCTGGGAGCTGCCCAGTTGTAGAGCATGTGGTAAATTGTCTTCTTTTCTACATGGCTACTCCAGTCCCCAAACTAGAGTTCACTGAATGTGTCTGTCTGCAAAGTGGAGATGGAGGGTGAGTCACCCTCCATCACCTGGTGAGATGAAGGAAGAGATACTAATGGGGATGGAGGAGGAGATGGGTCAGTACGTACTGGTTAAACCCTGCCAACCCCCTGGGATATGCTATGGGCCCAGCAATCCCTGGACTCCTCTCTGCTGCTCTCCCAGCCCCTTCTGTAGCACTTGGGCTCCTTCTGCTGGGAACCAGTCAGGTGCTTGTTGACCCCCACCTTTGATGTGATCCCAGCATCCGCTCACTTTCTTCCTTGTGGGCCAGCCTGTTGGAGTCTGCGTCAGTCACTGACAGGGGAGTGACGCTGGAAACCTTGAGTGGCAGTGAGTGACCACAGTGGAAAGCGAAACGGGAAACCTCAGTGGCCTTGTCCCAGAGCCGTGTTTCCAGAACACCACAGTGAACCACAGCACCAGAGCCGGGTAGGGCGCTAGACCATCCCACCCTCCCAGCAGAGAGGCCTTTGGGTTTCATTGCCCAACCACTGACCTCCTTGGAGGCCTGGCACAGAACTAGTTTTGATCTATTTCTGGATTCAGAATTTTCAGCTCTCTCCTGGAACGACCTTCACTGTGTCCTCCCCCCCCAGCCCACAAGGGGGCATATATATTCTTACCCTACCCTCTTCTGCTACCCCCAGGTCCCCACAAAGATCTGAAGTTGATGTGCTTCTGTTACTTATGCCGTATCTGTCATGAGTCATCACGGTGTGGGAAGGAGACACACGTTTAAGAAGAGACTCACACCGGTGACTGAGGACGGGGCAAGCTGTTTACTCCCTCGTGTTCTGTAAGAATAATTAAATTGGCCACTGGAAAGATGGTTCCGTGGTTGAGAGCACTGGTACTTGGCCAGGAGACCTGGATTCAATTCCCAGAACCCATGTGGCAGCTAACAGAGATTTGTAACTCCAGTCCCAGGGGCTCTGACATCCTCTTCTGGCCTCCTGTATAGTCACTGCATGCACGATGTGAATAGACATACATTCAGGCAAAACGTCCATACCTTGTAGCCTTGATGTTGCCTGAAACTTGCTATACAAACACGGGCTGGCCTCAGACTTAGAGATCTGCCTGCCTCTGCCTCCTGACTGCTGGGATTAAGGGCATGTAGCACCATGCCTGGCCCCATATGTTCTTTTTTATTTTAAAAATTTAAATAATTTTATTTTTATTTATTATTTGTGTGTACACATGTATGTATGTGTGCGTGTGTATACATATGTGTATGCACCCATACACATGTGCCATGTATGGTTGTGAAAATCAGAGGACAATTTGGGGACCATTCTATGGTCCTGAAAGATACAAGAACAAGAGGTAGGATACATCTGGACCATCCAGGGTCATGTTGTTAAAGTTGCTTCCCTATAGGGTCATATTTTCAGGTTCTGGGTCTTGGGAAGTATAATAGCTAATCTTGGTTGTCACTTGGCCAGATCAAGAATCAACTAAATCACGAGTTACTGGGCACTTCAGTGAGGGATTTTCTTGATCCCATTATTTAAAGGAGAAAGATCTACTTTAAATGCTGGCAGCCCAGATCCAAAGGATGTGGAAGAAGGCGACTTTGCCTGCTTGCCCACACTCTTGCTGGCGAATTCATCCATGATGTTGCTGTCTCATCTCATGACTAATATTACAATTAACTTCTTCAGACTTCCGACATAGGCTGAAGACTAACATCTCTCCAGGAATCCTTCAGGCCTTTCATCAACAAGGGATGGAACATTGTGGACTGAACAGCTACTGGATTCTTGGCCTCTGCAGTATGAGGCAGCCATTGTTGGCCTACCTATCTGGACCACATTCTGGAAGCCAGTCAATAAACTCTCTTTAAATATATATTCACTCTATCATTTCTGTTCCTCTAGAGAAACCTAACTAATATAAGAAAATGAGTACATATCTTCACAGGGACACACACATGCACACACATGCACATATACACACACAAATATATATATGTACAAATATACATATATATATATGTACAAATATAAATATATATATATATAATTTCAATTGTTAAATAAGAAAAACCAAAGATGAGTAAAGTAAATGTTTCAGAATAAGCGCATGCACTTAACAAAGAGGACTAATATTCTCCTCAGATTTTGACAGCTATGTAAGTAGCAATGTCAAGGATAACATATAAAGTTAAATATAAGTTTTAAAAGTTAACTTAAAATATGAAATAAGAGACTTAGTGGACTCATCAGTCAATGAAGCAATCACTAAAATGTTGCCACCAGCTCAGGAAAACTCACAAGGTGAGATGTGTGCGCCATCATTACAGGTTGGATAGAAAACATCCCCGATTCTTGTGTTGGAACACACCTTGGTTCCAGTGACGAAACTGCTTTGAGCGGCTGTGGAACCTTTAGAAACAGGGTCTAGCTGGGGGAGCAGGGTGCCTGGAGTTGGAAGGGGGTGCTAAGGCTTATAGAATCCAGTTTCAATTCTGGCCTGAGCTCTCTGCTTCTTGACCCACTGAGGTGTGACAAGCTGTACCACAAGCTCCGAGCCTAATGGAGCCCAGGTGATGTTAGGATGATCCCTAGATGCTGAACATGGAGCTGTCGAACATGGAGCTGCATGGTTTCATGTTTGTCCTGCTGGGTTTCTGTCTTGCACTGGTCCTGGTCTGGTGCTGTAGTTGCCATAATTTCTCTGTCCTGGTGGACTGTTTCCCTTAAACTAAATCCCTTATTTGTTTACATTCTGTCTGTCGGGTAGTCATTTTGTCACAGCAGCGGCAAAAGTAATTGATACAGAAAATTGGTGCCAGAGGTGGTGCCATTGCCTCGAGGAACCTGACCACAGGTATTTAGAACGGGTTTGCAGGGGGGATGTGGAAGTGTTTAGAGCTGGGAGCTAGAATGTGGGGCTCAGAACTTATGGGCATTCTGGTGCACATTTGGAAGACTAGAATGCCGACAGAAAGGTAGCTGAGAGACGGTGCCATGAAGCTTCAGAGGGGGAGAAGAACTCTACAGGGACACTGGAGTTTTGTAGCATTCTGACAAAGAATTTGGCCACGTTTAGCTCACATTCTAAAATTCGAGTGCGGTTGAATAAAAGTGAAAAGAAGAAGAAGAGGAAGAAAGGAAGAAGAGGAAGAGGAGGAGGAGAAGAGGAAGAGGAATAAGAAGGGGAAGGAGGAGAAGGAGGAGGAAGAGGAGGAGAAGAGAAAGAGGAAGAAGAAGGGGAAGGAGGAGAAGGAGGAGGAAGAGGAGGAGGAGAAGAGGAAGAGGAAGAAGAAGGAGATGAAGGAGAAGGAGGAGGAAGAGGA